GTTTTGAATCGGCGTTTCGTAAAATTTGTCCGACAAAACTAAATACCGAACTTTACTTTAAAATTATTTTTATTATTGTTTCTAGTAATTTGAGAATAAAATTTTGCAACCTAAAGTGGCAATAGGTTCTCTTGCTATTTGTGTCGTAAGTCAATAGCGTATCGAGTGACCGTGATTCAAAATTTAAATGTAGCAGTAAGGGTTGAGGAAACAAACTATGATTGGCACTGAAAACGTTTTACACCACTCTAATAAGTGACTTGTAAGAATGGGGTTAACTTAATTCTTTAAAAACGTAAGAAACCTACTTTAAAATGAAAATTCTGAAAACAGTTGTTGAACCGACAATAATTACATACTAATATTTCGAATTTTGTGTGACTAGTAAGAGTTCTGCACAATGAAACACCAAACGATGTAACCAAATAAAATAGCTGGGTTGATAACCACGCGACCATAGAAAATGGATTACCAAGATGCTTGATAAGTGCATTTAAAATGGTTCCGATTTCGATCAGCATCAGCAATAAACAAAATTGGAAAACTGACTGAAATCATGTAGAATAATACTTAGTTCGCTGTAGATTTTCATAGGTCCTGAATATGAGGAAATGAACTTAAGCAAGCTTGTGTGTGTCATAATGATTGTTCTTCTCTATTACGAGGAGTAAAAGAAGTATATGATCGTCGAGGGTATTATCGATAGCTGGCAAGGTTCATAGGTCATACGAACTTGCCCGTTTATTCTACTTGATGCACCAACTTACGTCTGCCGCTTTGCTGAATATGATTTATCAAGTTGTCTAAAAACTAACACTCTCGGATTAGATGCCTTACCTCATTGTAAATTCCTTGAACTTAAACAAACGTCAATTTGGCCGAAAATTGTTGTTACTTCCTATACGACGGTTGTGTCGATAATTTCACTGATGTCAAGTGTAGATTTTGTCCAGATAACTTAACAGCTGTAAAGACCGAAATCGAACAAATGGTCAGGCAAGATTCGATTTTGTTTACAACATTCACATGTCTTGACCGCTCGAACATAGCAACTGTTTCCGTTTGTTAAAGATTATATAAGTATACCTGGACAGCGGTAATACTTCTCGCTAACTTACTATCCTTGACCTAAAAAATGTGACACGTAAACAATAATCAACGAAAAAGAACACCATCAAACTTAACGAAAACAGGTATATAAGCACCTGTGCGCTGAACTCCACTTCAAACAAATTAAACCGTTGGTTGATATACCTCAGATGCATTGACGTCAGCCTTTACACTGCTAACTGTGGAGCACACAGGATTATTATGGTCAACAATGAGGAGTAGAATTAGAACAACAAGCAATAAACCGTGACTACCACTGGGAAGTAATAGAATATTCTATCAGTAAATAATGGGTGCTGAATGAGCCTGGTTGAATAAGACAGAGCACTCAGTGTTGTCGCTAACATCAATTGAAAACAAAGCTTAAAATATATCCAATAACGAAATTTGTGGTGTATCTGCGGTGTTTTTATCATGTTATTACAGCTTGCTCAATCCTAACTCCAGCGGATAAAATAATCATTATAAACCTACACGAACGAAATTTAGTGAAGGATTTGTAGAATCCAAACTACGGTTGGGACTGAAGAATAACCGTTCAGGTAGGTTAGACACGCGCCCTTGCCCGTCAAAATCAAAACAAGTAATCGGGTAAACGACGGTTCTATAATTCATCATAAATTTAAATGTACATCGTTACCTAAACAAATATTACCACCCGGCTATTCAACCAATAATTTTTCAATCACTCAAATCTAAATTACAATAATAAAGAAGTTGATAAAAGATGCGTGAAAAATTACCAGTCACAACAAATGAACGCTATTCTATCCTGACTGGATAGAACACGCGCAAAAGGAGGAGCAAATCAATATGGCTGCCGCCAAGAACAAGTATCAAGTAAAACAACATAGATGTAGTTCGGGAAGAAACACAAAAACTTAGTGAAGACGTAAGAAAAATAAAAACTATAATAAAAATACTAACATTAACAGTTCGAATGTAATCAAAAAACTAACAATGTACAACTAAGAGGATTAATAGGAACAAGTGCAAGTGTTTACATGGAGGGATTTTTACTCACACACAAAACATTCAAATCAGACATTACAATGGGAAATTTAAATCTTCTTTGAGGCAAATGATGAGCGAAATTCCAGTAGATGTTGATGGTCATGGATTTTGCGTGCAAAGCGAAAATCCGGAAACAACGGTTTCGTTCAAAGTAGTCTCGTCGTGACTGTATCAGGTGATGCGAAATAAATGAAAATTAGGACACAACGGAGAGAAGGAAATAGCCACAAATATATTTGGTTTGTTTATAGGCCTTTCGCAGACTCTCATTCTCTCACAGAATACCCCGTTAAAGTTCCAAAATTATTGTAGATAAATTGCTAGAGACAAACGACCCTGACCCAGATGTAAGACATAATCGCTATTTGGAAGAGTTCAGATCATTCATTTGTTACATTTCCCCAAATAACTTTACTGAAGTTGGGATAAAAATATCGGCAATAACAGGTGATAGAACCGACAAATTCTACCGTCAATTGAATAACAAAATCTTTTGTTTATTGCTGTTCTAGGTGAAAGTAACACCGAAGTAAGGGTGAAGCATAATATGTCTTTAGAAGATAGAATGGAAAGCAAGGTGTCACTAGCTGAACTAAAACACACCTCCAAAATGGTGAAGAAATTCTCCGCTAAGTAGGTTTTCGAGTAGTCGGGTGTTGGGTGCATATGTTGTTCAATTTATGGAGTTTATGGTCGTAGACTAGGAGGTAAATTCCATGAAATAGGATTGTTAGTGGACAGATCAAAACCACTCATCTAAGCATAAGATATTGCCTGTCTATCTGTTCTCCCATTGTTGTTAAATAACGATCATGCTTTATTCGTTCACGTTTAGAGCCTGTGACATGAGAGACGTTCACATTAGGCCTAGGTTAAATGTGTGAAGGGCAAACATGGTAGCCATAGAGGAATATACTGCGACAACGGAGTGGTCAGCAAATACCAGCCCATCATTTGAAGTAGTACAGTTCATATTTAAAGGTACACTTGGTTACATCAACACTTATATCATGCTTGTTCTTCTGTAGACCAATTAACTAACGAACATGGATACCCAAAGAGTTTGTAAAATTTCTCAGATGTGAGAAAATGCGTTAAAGCATGTTTGTCCCCACATGCTCTGAACATATTTACTTGCTTCAAGGTCTAGAATGTTTTCAAGGCATTAATATGCAAGGCTAGAATCATATGAAGGGATTCTGAATTTAGCCATAATAAATAAAGAGGCTCAATCAAGGTGATGGAATCCCACCACTTTGACTTCGAGTAAACTCGTTCATACTGGCAAGAAATGATGTTGTTAAAGCCAAAGTATTATCAGAACATTTTAATAAAGTGTTTCTTATTGACAACAATGAAAGACTATCGATTAGTTGTGGTAATGGCGGCTTGTCAACCGATTCTGACGTTACCAGTAAAAAGACTACATTACAATTACTTCAGCAAATGAAACCAGATATGTCTTGCGGTCCTGACGACATCCACTATGAAATCCGTGCTGGATGTAACCGATGAACCCCTGTCGATACTATCTGGTATGTCTTCGTGGCGGTTAAGACTGCTAAGAGTCTGAAAGGACGCGATATTCAGTCAACTATAAAGCAGGTTAGGAGACCTAATAACCATCGACGTGATAGTCTGATCAGTATAATTGTTAACCTATGGAAAAGATTATTCACATGGCTATTCTAAACTATACGGCAGTATATAACATTTTGTCCAGGGAACAACACGATTTTAGGAAAAGTCTAACATGCTTGGCAAATCTGCTCATTACACGAGAACATTAGGTTGCAGCGAAAGGTATGGATATTCCGTGTTTCATGATTTTCATAAATGGGGTTCTATCAATGTAGAAATCTGTATAAAGTTCCTCAAAGTACAATCCACGGCCGTCTTTTTGATTTTTATCTATGATTTAAAAAATGTAGCCGTGTCATCTGTTCTACTTTTTGCAAATGAAAAAACATTTGAAAACCCATACACAGTATTTCAGGTAGAATAATATTACAGGATGACCTAAAATCACTAGCTGAACAGAACTGTGGTTAGTCATTAAAAGTTAACTCCAACAAGAGAGTGGCGACGCAAATAAATAACTGCTATGATTCATATTATACACAAAAAGTGTGATCATGTTACCTAAAGTAGTGGACTATAAAGATCAATGAGTCATAACCAACGTCATAACTATGTGTAACTGTCAGGCTGTCGCTGCCAAGAACTTCAAGGTGTTTCGGGTCACTAGTAAGTCATTTCACAATTTGGACGGAGAAACATTTATGGTACTGTACTATACTATAGGATGGTTTCAATGGCGAGGAACCAAAATGGTAAAAGTTCTGTGTGGTCTATCTTATGAAGATAGAGTGAGAAGTCTCAACATATTCCCATTATTTTTCCGCAGGGTACGAGGTGATCTAGTATTGGCTCACCGTATTCTGAGCGTCAGTTGGTTATCGATTTGTCTTATTTCTCTCTTTTATGCAGGACTGTCCATCTAAGAGGACATTCTGCGAAATTTCAAAAACTGAGATCAAATCGCTTACGTCTGTAATTCCGAGTAGTATCGGTAGAATTCTCTACTGTAACATGTAATACGCGAATATCTCTGAAATACAATTAAATACAGATTGAATCTTTACAGTCCTGTAAATTCAAAGTAATAATATAGGTCGTCTGACCTCTCATCCGTACTATTGATGACTAATGCTCATGAAACAAAAAATTGGGTTGTCTTATGGAGCAATTAGGATAAAGAAAAAGCAGTCTTCAATTGCAATCATATTTCCCATATCTTTCACTCCGGTATTCTATTCTGTTATTAGCTTCAGGTTGGACACTGTCTCATTTGTTTCTATGTTTCAAGAATACTCGTTGTTGACTTTGCGCTCAAAACAAGTCGGTTTTTCGTTCAATGTATGTGGGTAGTGTGTCGTTTCCGTGGTTGTGCGTTTTTTAAACTATTTCAGGACTATTTTTGTATTTCATATAGATGGCAAGTGTGCTTTTAAATTTGCCGCTCGGATTTATTCTAAAAGGCTCTTTTAGTAACGGCCAAATTAATATTTTCTGTGTGTGTAGTAGATGAAATTTTGCCACATATCTTGAAAAGTATCCTATATATTTCGGTTGCCCCTCAAATCGCCTGTCTTACATGTGGTTTTTTACCACTTATCGGTTCACGTATATTCGAGAAAACTACTTGTATTTTGAATATCCTCGATTTAAATGAACCCTAACTCGGACGGTGTTCGATGTATTGATTTGTAATAAATCTGTTAAGGTTGATTATTTCGTTTAGAATCATATTTTTATAAGTTCTGCCACTGACACTATAGTCTGACTTATGGTTAGATGATAGTGATAACTTATGCTAAATTATTATTTGCTATCTTAGACAAAACTTGATATTAAGTTTTAAGCTTATTTCTCGGTTGAAAAAAATGTGTTATGTTCGTAATGCAAATAACATGATTCTTGATTCCAAAATAGTTGTTGTGCACTGGTTACATTGATGTTAAATAGTGCTTTTTTAAAAGTCTTATTCTATTCAATGTTACTCTATAACAGTTCCTTTGGAACTCATCTTTTGTTAAACTGGGCGAAACACTCGTCATAAGCTATTGAGGCAACTAGTGTGGTGACGAGGTAAAATGTACTGTCTAATCAAACATTTAGACAAGGTTTACTTGGAATTAATTTTTAGTAAGCTTATACTAATATTTCATACTTCATGCCAACCGTTTGGAAACAAACTCAGGTTATTGTACTCCTAACTGACAGTTTTGTTCCAGATTCTTCATCGTTTGCCTGATTGTTTCATGCAGTAGTTTAGCAGTTGTTTTAAAGAATGTCTCTTTGTATTTCTCGCATGTGATATATGTATGGTATAAAACGTAACGGAACTGACGCTTCGTATTTATGAACAAGTGCAAATGTTTCTATGTTCAAAATTTATTGAATATATGTCATATTGCATGTTATGTTTTGGTTAACACAATAATAACTAGTGATTAGTGAACATTAAGCTGTCGTTTTTATGTTTCTGTTTTAAATCTGCAACATAAATAAAGTAAAAATCAAACACTAAGTGGAGTCGTTCACTCAGAAATGACTGGTTATTTAACTGTATCTTCTTTATTGATCGTTTATTTCTGAAAATCCTTGAAATCATTACTAACTATTTACAAAATCGGAATAAGGGTTATTAGTTGATATTAAGCATACTCATGTCTGGTCTATTGAATTCAGCTTAAATTGCTGGAGAAATTTCACTCCGATTATTTCTTAAACTAACAGAACTTATCTTCCTACACAATGCGTATTTTCGCTACCACTATGCTGTTGATTTTTCTTAAAGCTTCTACATCTTAGTAGATCATAAGTGTCATTCTTAAAACGGTCACAAATTATGTAATACGAACTCAAAGTTAATTAAGTACTATAAGTCAGTTAGATAATATTTTTTTCTTTTTTCTTTTCAGAATGAATTGGTTTCTTTACCTTTGTTTTATTTTTATTTAACAGGATAACAGACGTTCGGATTTCTGAATATTTCATTCTTGTCATATTTCTAAAACACTGAAGTAATTCATTATCAGAGACAATTTAAACTAAACAAATACTATGCGCGACGCAAATGCAAACGAACGAACTGCACTCACCACTGGTACTGGTGGTGCAGATTCATTCGAAATTTCCCCTAAAGATCTACAGAAATTAATGGACTGTCGTAAATTGGAGGCTGTTAAATATCTTAATGAAAAATACGGTGGAGTTGTAGGATTATGTCGATTACTTAAAACATCTCCACAAGATGGTGAGTTACATTTTTGCTTGGATTTTAAATTATAACTGGAATATCTTTGTCCAAAATTTGGAGAGGTACTTATCTATATTAAACAGTATCATTATTTAAAGTAGTTTCGCCACTCAGTGATCAAGTATAGTCATGTGCAGCCATATGTGATTGTCTTAACTGAAATAATTGAAGTTACGCTTAGATCTGCCAATAGTATGATGTGGCTCAGAATCTTCTACAGTCACAGAGATGGATTCACTGGTTGTCTCAAAATACTGATTCTTCTTATTCTGCGAGTTTATTCTATCTTTCATATCATTTATACCTGGTTTTTTCTTCTACTATTGACATTTGTTCTGCTACTCTGGGAAACGCCTCAATAATGCCATCTTGCTGTGCTGTGTCGGAACCACTGCACTTATGTGACATGTTGAACATTATGATTGACTGACTTCAGTCTTCCATCTGCCGTTTGAGAGTCGAATGTCTGGAGCACCAAGTCGCATCTCGACTTTTAACAAAACTTCTATACACAATTTTTTGGCTAGCTGTTAAATTACGTTCATCAGCTAGTTTTTATTCATGCCATTTTAGTTTCTCTTCAAAGAATAATTTTGTTAATTCTTACATTTTTTTCCGGAAACCAAACATTTCGTATCACCATTAATAACTCTTTCATTGTTAGTTTTAACTCTGAAAAGGGTTATTTTTCATGATTTGAACGTACACAAGTCATATCAGTCGAAATTAAGGCTTGTAGCGTTCTGTAAATGCTAGGAGTAAAATCCATATTTGTTCCCAACCATACTCGTTACTCAGAAATTGGATGTATATAGGTTTGAGTGTTCATTTTTTTAGTGAAACCTTAACTCAACACTTCCTTGGGGAATGCTTTTTCAAAAGAAACGAGGGAGTCGAGGAGTAGAACGTCAGAAATAATATTAAAACTCAGAATTTAGGTGGAAAGATATAAAGTTGATATATCTGTATCACTGTGATTGCTTGTAAGCTGCAACGTCTTCAAACAGAATTCATAGCAGGTCGAAAAACTAGGAAAAACAACTTAAATCCTAAGGTCGATTTGTCAGCTTTAATCAGCACAACAAAACTTCCACCGAATATCCAACTAAAACCAAGGTGGATTTCTTTAATTTTATTGATAAAATGTGGATGAGATCTCTTTATTAGCACTGAAGCCCGAGTTTTCTTAGGAAAGGTAAACAATTTATTAAGTTTAACGTGCTTCTTGATGGCTACTTTAACCGCCTATGTTAGGCAATAAATTGATTTTTAAAAATATTTACTATAAATGACATCATAGTTAATATTTAGGCAACAAAAATTTACTGACATATTGGCAAGACATTTATATGGAATTTTCACGGTATACTTCTTACTTTTTTACAACCATTGAAAGTTTCTTTCAGTAGTCGTAGCCTTCAATGTGTAAAAATTGTTTATACTGATGGATACTTTAAACTGTAACATATTACTAGACATAGTATCCAGTTTAAAGTCCTTTGAGTTTTACAAGGTGGTAACCTAATAAGCATGCCACTCATCTTTGAACTACCTGGTTACGAATTCGATGCTTGCTCCACCTACCACAGTCTGAGCAGCCCTGATAGTATGAATTCTCCTCACTAACAAAAGCATGATCTGACATAGACGACAGAACCATGTCATTGATGAATGTATTATATCATAATGAAAATTCTGTGAGATTGTTGACTGATAGTCCTAGTTGTTTGCGAGGTTGTATGCTACCTACTGAATATGGTTCCTGAGACACTGGTTACATTTATTCATCAGTTTGCACTGCGGACTGTTGTGCCCTTTATCCCAATCATTATTCTAGTTCTATCAGTCGTTGGGAAATTTTTAAACCTCGAATTGCAATCAATAAGTCTCAGGTTCAAATCATTCTATATTTGACTCGCTTTGGAAGTCCTAAGTAATATCATTAGTCTACATACAAAGAATTGTAACTTAAACCCGATTACATAAACCTGTATGTGTTTGGTAAATAAGTTATCAGGTACCTTATTTGACCAACTTATTAGGATATGATTGTTCTTTAAACTATATTTATTGCCAGTTTAAGACTAGTAATATTTTATAACACACAAATACACACCACATAATATAGATATACTTAACAAAAATCATTAACTTATATCGGGTTTATTTCAAAACACTTTCTTTTCAAAACACTAATTTTCCATTAATACTGCTACTAGTGATTATATAATTAATAACACGACATACATATCTATGCTCTTTCTTTGTATATGTCTGCGTTAACACTAGTTCTTTATTTTGTCCCTCTGTTGAGATCGTGTATTTTAAAATAAACTAAAGAATAAAAATATTCTCCGTGATAGGTTGTAGAAATTATTGTATTTTCCGAGTTGTTTACACAATCAGTAGTAATATTAGTAGTAGTGACACTATGAGTATACATCATCTATAGGCGCCCGCCATATTTAATCCGTATCAAATTATTGGAATGGACACAACATCAGACAGATTGTTTTAGATTTTTATAAATAATCGGTAAATTTTCAGAGAATACATTTTTGTACGTGACTATCTGTCTGTCCCTCTAAATACATAGAATACAATAAAGTAATAATTAGTTTATTTTAGTTTGATCTGTTTTATTCTAGTCTTGTGGAAACTAACTCAGATGTAATGGCTTAGTGTAGTTTGGATTGCAACTAGTGTGTTGGTGAATTCGAACCTTGCTCTTTTTAAAACTGTATCAATTAGGTTTCACATGTGAAAAGCTGACGTATACAGCCACTGCTAGGGAAGTCCTACTCACTGGGCTTGAGTTTTAATGTCAACATCACAGATATGAATAAATACACTTAACTGACCAGTCTCAAACAGGACAAAAGGCATAATATTGAGTTCTGTGAGGAGTCATAAGTGAAATATACAATGTTATTCTCGTTTAAAAGTACTCTATGGTCAATATAGATGGATAAGCTTTGTTCCGCTTATCCGATGTTCAGTTAACAGATAGATACATAATGGTTGTTACTTGATTCACCTACATTCATGTTATTAGGATTAATTACAGTAAATTTATTACTATTACCATTATTATTATTATTACTATTTAATTAAGATATAATTATTTATCCCCAATTAGGGTATGTGACCTATAATTCAGCTTGTACATATATCTCACTTCCTATGTTTGTATGTGTGGTTTGTACTCCTTACATTTATTAGATAGACTTGTACACTGAGTTTTTTTATTGACCATTGCATACTTTTTTCATTCACATAGTTTGTATTCTGAATAGACATTTTTGATGCCAATTTTGTTGGCTAGTAGTTGACTGTACACAGATCGGCTTTAGTTAACCTTGATTTAATGATATTAATTCAAAGTTAAGAAATTTATGGCGCTTATTTCAATTTGATGTTAATTTTTATTGCACACATATATCAACTGGTAAATTATTAAGAATCAGAGGAGTGCTGAATAGCTGTTTTGTCTTAGTTTTGAATAACTCAGTAATGTACATGGACGATATTGCCATGATCTAACTGCAGTAAGGATGATGCTATTGGGTCAGAAAATCAAAGTTGTTGTATGACACTTCAGTGATTAAAGGTCAGGCGCTCACTGTCCTGAGTTCGATTTACGGTTCAGTCGCTGGTGCATACTGTTAAGAAGTCCCATCAGATTTTCGAAATTTAAATTAACTAACTCCACTAGTACCTGTGTATAAGCCATACTATAAATGTGGGCAATAATAATTCTATCCGGTTACCCTAGTTGGAATAAATGGAGCGGATTTAGAATCCGGGGCATAGTGATCAAAAATCGAATACTTTAATCATTAAGCCACTACCTTACCAGGGGTCCTGTACTAGGACGAAACATCTTCCCTGTGCTTTCTGATGTTTTTCAGTTGCACCATACGTTAGGTCAGTCAATGATATAAACTACAAAAATCACAATCCAGCGATCCACATTTCAAGCTCATTCAAAATGTAATATGGCACCATCATCGTCATGGTTACTCGTTAACTACACAGTACCAAACTAGGCTAAAATAATAATGTTTAATTCCTTTTAAATTTATCAGTCTTGATGCAATTTAGTTCAAAACAATACTTTTTATCCTGTGTATTGGTTCTTTTTTCTTGATACATCTCTATATTTGATACTCGCCTGTACGACTTTTACTGGCATATATATATATATATATATATATATATATATATATATATATATACATATATATATATATGACTAGAATAGTACTAAGTAAGTATTACAACGAATTAACAAAATCGCACATATACATGTATGCTCAAATATTATGGCTAAAAATATAAAAATAACTCTATAAATAGACTAGCAACAATATAATTTTCAATCATTTTGATCATGAATACATATTTCTTACTCAATTAAAGAACGTTTTATACACAAGCACACATTATACTGATATATACATTTTTATGTATTGAAATGACTAACTACTTACATAGATACAATTTTACAATAAGTAAAGTACTTGGATCGTATACATTGTTTTTCTTAAATGTATATTACATATATTTTCACCAAAAAATCAACTTGATTGAATGTATGAAACTAAATATTGTTTTTTCTTTCTTTCTCTGTTTCTCTTTCTCTCTCTCTCTCTCTCTCTCCAAATTACATTCTTGTGATGAGTAAAACATCATTGATTTTATTAATTGTTGTGAGTTTTTCGATTGATTTAATCACCAAGGTTCATAGATCAGAGATCATGGATTAGATTATTTAAAAAGAAAATCACGTTCTAGTAATTAGTTCTAGTCGACTAATATTTACTCTGAATAATTGGAAATATCCAAGTTTGACAGTCATTGTTTGATTTATTGAGTTTAAATCTACCAGTGTTGGCTTTTTACCATAAATTGTAGTGCTGTTTTGGCAACTTAGGTTTAATGATAAATAAAATGTACTTGTCTTTCAACTAATCGGTCTCAAGTTCAAATCTCTC